CTTGCCTGTCAGGACATATTACATCATGATCAGTATTTCACCTTTGGAATCACTTAAAGACAAGATTGAGTGATGCTACTTTCCTTAGAATGAAGTAAATGAAACACAAATACATACGCGCATACACAGACACACTAAACTATAGAAATAAGCTACATTTTTCTCAAGAGCAGCTCTCCCAAAAGTGGTAAATAATTCTATGGTGAATAGTCTTGATTCAGCGTCTGGTGCTTGTCCTTTAAGGGATAATGGAAAGATGCTTTGCTAAAGGGACAAGAAATTTAAGAGTGATCTCAAACTCAGACCTGAAGGTTGAGCACCTCTTATATCTGTCCCAAAGAAGGCTAGTTGGGGTACGATCACCAGCAGTCCTAAGCAAAACAACAACAACAACAACAAAACCCGACACATGGGAAAGGAATCTGATTTTAAATGAACGTGGATTGAAACCAGCATACATACCAACAATGTTTGGGTTCCAGGATAACTTAGAAGCAAGTACTGGAAAATGTTGTACATCTCACGTGCTAAAGGCTCTGCTCAGACTAATGGGCAGCCCAGTGGACTTCATCAACATTAATTCAGGGATGTGATCAACCCAGCAGCTTTTCCCCTGCTTTTTATGCCATTCCTAGGTTAACAGTTTAGTTCAAAGAGCAAATTATCACATCAGGGGATAGAAACTAGAAGGACAAACTGGTTTCCCACTTCCCGACATGTAAAATACGAGTGCAGCAAAGCAGATGTCTGTATGTAAAAAATCCCATTGATTATAAAGTTCTTTCAATATCAGAAATAAAAGCCTTCACACTGGCTTGCACTTTCATAGGTTTTTGTGCTTTAGTGTAATTTAATCTTCATTTGGCCTATGAGATAGACTGTTGTAGCTGTGGTGTAATTGAACTAATGCTTGAGAATCAGTAGAAAGTTTGGACATAGGTTGCTGGAAATAATGTCTATGGATTGCCTATTAAAATAAAGGAATTCCTATAAGAGCACTACCACATATTAATATAAGTACGGCTTGTGCTCAAGACCTTCCTGGTGGATTTTGTCCTTTGATATTAACTCCAGTGGGATGAGATAGGTATCCCAAGTTGGGAAAACAAGAGCAAGAATGGGAGCCCTTGATACTGTTGTATGATGACAAGTCAGAAATAAATTTTATTGGGGAAAGGGGGGTAGACGAACGGCTGATGGACTATATTATAAATCACTATTATCTAGAGTATCTGTCTATAATAAATATAAAAAAGCACAAATTTTAATTAAAACAGAATATTGAGCTAAAGATGACTCTTATGTAAACTTTAGAACGATTTAAGTTAGCTTTAATGCTATGATAATATTAAAACAATTCAGGTAGGCCTGGAACTGTCTTCCAAAATAAGGCTATCTGGTTGAAAACACTTCTACTGTACTGATAAGAAGCTTCTTGTACTAAGCATTTTCATCAGATACTCATCCAGTTTTCTTATTCTTCAAAAAGCGCAATTTTGAGAGTGTGTTATTCCACTCATAACTAGAGAATAGGAAATTTCTTTCTCGAGATTTGGTAGAAAAATAAGAAAAAGGAATGAAATCAATACTTTTTCCCCTTTAAAGTTTGGTCTTTAACTGTTCAGCTTAACTATCAGTGTTTGGCAAAAGTAAGATTTAGGAAAATCTGAGGTTTCATGTGCTTGCCTATTTATTTAACAAAAAATTGTATTTGTCAGGGATTTCTTCAGATCATAATATTTACAGGTGGCTGACAACTAACTTTGAAAGAGTATATCATATAATAATCATGTCTGTATTCTAACTTGAATGTGTTATTTTGCAGTCCTATAATTGTATTGAAATATATCTCTGGTTGCATGCATGGTCTGTCCAAAATTCACCAGTAAATTGTTCTGATCTGCTGCTTCATGGCCAATATACATCCTGGAGGAAATACCAAGTATGGCTTTATGTATTTTTTTTCCTAATTTCACATACAAAAAAGTAATAGATTTTATATTTTCTGGCATTCCTGTTTAAAGGTTTCTAAATGATAAGGGCTACAGACAGGGAGGGGTCTGCTTGAAAGCACAGAAGACTTCCACTGTAGTCAAAATTAGGCAAAGCAGACTAATGGTTTAAGCTAACCAAATACAGCTTAATAAAATTGATATAGAAAAAACAAACTCAAAATCACCTGGAACACTACAGTGCTATAACGAATTAGTAAACTTTTCATACGTTGAAAGTATGTGTGCATTTACTTTAATAAAAGTTCAGTCTGGAATGCATTGATTTGATTTTCTTTCATTGGGCTTTCTTTGCATCATCCTATTTTGTTCCATTAGTTTGGTATTTCTTTTCACAGGATGTATGCCATACAATTTTTTAAAAAATTATAACTTTTTTGAATCAGCTGTTGGTTTAAATTGTGATCACATGCCCTGGAGATACCAAGACAGAAGTGGAAAAAATTATTCTAAGATGTGTGGGTTGGTCATTCTTGGAAATAAGTGATTTATTGCATATGTTTTCAAATTTAGATAGAGATTATAATATATGTCAAATAATATTGGTAAATTTATTATTTCTACTTTATGTTATGTTCTCAAATGTTCAAAGCAGAAGTAAATACATGTTATTATAATCAGACTCCACATTCACAGGAATTTTAAACTTGATCATTCAGTATTTTATTGCACATTTTTCTAATTAACTCTGCATTCTTGAGGGCTAGAAATTTTTAAAGACTGAAAAATAATCATAGAATAATAACGATTTGCCAAATATTGTTAATCTCTGTGCAATATAGCTTTTGTAAGTTCGTTTGTTGTTTATTCCTATCCTATCCTCAATTTTTGGTTCTGCAGACTTTCACTGAGTATATTCAACTTTGACAGTGAAAGGTTTTTATCTTTATAGAGATATTTGAACAACTTTTTCCCATAGTTAGATTAAAGGCAACTGAACTAAGATAGGATTTGCTTGCTTATACTTTAAATGAAATTACTGCCAGATAATTCTGATGGAACTGTACTATAAAGAGACAAACATAATTTGGCAATAGAACTGCTGGGATTTGCCTTGTTCTCCTTAGTAAGTGTTCTTCATAACATTGATTGCAACATAATAAATTCTTTTTATTGCTGGAAAATTTCAGTAGGGCTTTAAACTTACCAAAAGACCCAGGAAATAGGTGTTAACCAGAACTGTAGATTAGAATTAGAGACATGGTAAGCAAGGGGGTTGCAGTTAGCATTTCATAAGCGTTTTTTTTTCAAATATTACTGCTTACTTAAATATTCTTTCATAATTATTTATAAGATATCATTGAGGTTTTGAGAAATCCAAAATGTTTTCCCAACTTTCCCTGATATTTTTCTTAACATGTATTCATATATATTTTAAAGCTCTATCAGAGGTAATATTCTGAGATCATTATTAGCCTGATTTTAATAAATGATGTTGTTTAGCAGCTTCAGAGTGAGGGCAGAAAATGTTATCTTTGACTGCTTGTTAGAAAAGAGTTAATAAATTCCCAACCTTTGCTCAGGGCTAATCTGAAAAGGTCTCGCCATGCCTATTTTGACATTTCCAACATTTTACCTGAATACTGTTGCCAAACCTCATATGTCCAATCCAAGGCTCCTTTCTTGTGTATCAAAATAATTTTGAACAGATATTAATTACTACATAATTTTTATGTATAAATAATTATCATGTTAGAATCAAACATGAAAAGCTGGAATTTTTTTTCTTTTATTCAGGTTTGTGTGTTCAGATAAACCTGTTTAGATTGTGCCCAGTGTCATCAGATTATCATCTGTTTGCATCATTATTTTAATTGACCTCTCAATCAAAGGAATATACTATTTACAATATGTTTGCACAGCTCCCTCTAGCTTTTGATGATTTATTTTTCTGAATTTCAAATTTTGTTTCCCCCGATTCAAGATTTAGCTAAAATAAATTTCAATCATCTTTGCCTCTATAAATTCCCTTAGATGAAAGACTAAGAATTTTTGTCAGCATGTTTAACTCTTATAAAAACCAGTAACAATGAGAAACATAAAGGTATATTTTGTGGTAATCAAAGGAATGAGGACATTTCTGACATTTCAAAACTTCATTTTCTTTATTTGTTAAAAAAAAATCTACAATGTGGTTTTTTTGGAATGATTTAAATATTGTATAGTCTGATTTTGTTTCCAATGGGGCAGATGGTTCTGGAAGAATAAACAAGCATCCCATTATAGTTATCGCCGCCTTCAGTGTGTCTCAAGCAATGTAGGAAGACATCTGTTTACACAAGAGTTTAAATCCTGACTGTTAGGGAAATGGAAATAAGTTATATTAATTATATGCAGTTTACTGGTGGACAAATACCATTGGGTTTCACCTTCTATTTCCTCTGAGAGGAAAAATGTAGAAAATAGTGATACAGATTTACTAAACGGATTGGTAAACAGAGTTTGTATTTTTTGACCAAAGTTATTCAGTAAAATTAAAGAGAAATGTTCACTTGAGTTTGGTTAAATTGGATTTTAGCTGTATCATAATCTTACATATTTGGAAATATTAGAGGAATTTGTAGCCAGTGTAAGAACTGAAATTCATTAGGACATAATCTAATAATCTGAATATTTGTTAACATAAAATAATGGGAATTAAATTTTACAAACACCTTTCTGTTTTGAAGTACAATGACATTTTATTTCACTATCTGTGACAGAATTACTGCCCAATAAAATGTTTTTCAAATGAATGCTACTTATATATTAAAATATTTGGACCTAACTAGGTTTATTAATTATATCCTTTGACCACATTCATACCTAGAATTAAAATGGTCTGAGGCTTCTTTGAGGTTTAATATGATGCATCCAGTATGGCAAAGTGTTGTATGAGAAATAGGCCTCTGTGACTTACTCAAACGGTGGTTTTAAAACTCCTGGATTAATATAGGCAGATAAATGTGGGATGCTCAGATATCTTTGACTGTCCTCCTCAGAGTTCAGACAGTCCTGGCCATATTAGGATTTTTCTGATCCTTCAGCTCTATTATGGTAACAGATTTTGGGACATTAGGTTAAAAAAGAAAGCAGGGTGAGATTGCAGCCTGTATAATCTTCATTGGTGTTTCTTATCCTGCAAAATAAGCATTGTAATTGTATTTTCTATGTGTTTTCTTTGAGTTAATGGAATAACTACATTCGTGCTCATAATTATTGAGATCACAAAATATAGAATTAAAAACACAATTGGAATCAAATGCAGCTACACAATCATACACGAACAAACTTTTCTGAACTTAAAAGATTCCAATTCTGAATTTGGGGATACTTTTTATAGCCAGTTTTTTTGTACACTTAAACCTCAAGGCCACTGTATTTTAAATGGCTGTTTTTCCTGAGCAAAACTCAGATCTCCTTTTGTGAGCTGCTTTCAGCAAATGAATATTGAAGTCTTTCCAAAGGTCGAAAAAGGAAGATGTTTCTGTATTCATGTAGTCTTCAACTTATGACCACAATTGGAACCATAATTCCATTGTTAAGCAGGGCAGGTTTATGTGAGTTGTGCCTGATTTTATGACCTTTTTTGCCCCAGTTAACGAATCACTGCAGTTGTTAAGTGAATCATGTGGTTATTAAGTGAATCCAATTTTCCCTGCCAATTTGGTTTCTTGGAAACTGGCTGGAAAGGTTGCAAAAGCAGCAACCCCCTGATCCCAGGATGTGCAGCTATAGTAAAGACATGCTGGTTACCAATCACCTGTATTTTCATCCCATGATCATGGAGATGCTGCAACAAGTGTGAGTGTGAGGATTGGTTGTAAATCACGTTTATTCAGTGCTGTTGTGACTTCGAACAGTCACTAAGCAAATGATTGTAAGTCAAGGACTACCTGAATTCCAAAAGGATCCTGGAGTATCCAGGTGTGCATATCAATGATGACCATCAAGCTGATGAAATGGCAGGCTTTTTTTTTTTACTTTTGTTCCTCTTTTCATGCTGTGTGCAGTCTGCAACCTGCCACTTACATTTAGCGGGTGCTTTAGTATTGTTAGATTGCAGACTTACCTTCCAAAAACCAAATTTTATTGACAGACAAATTAAGGGATTATGGATTTATGAGGGAAGAAATAACTTCTTATCTACTAGGCTCTGATTCAGCCAAACACTTCCTTGTGTTTATCTTTAATTGGGTCTTCTTGGTTAACAATGAGTTCAACCAATTACACTGTAAGAGTATTAGAATGTGCAAATTGCACTTCTAATCTTTCTGGATTATATTGCATGACAATCTGGGTTTTAGATATCACACCATGCCCTCTAGACACAAAATACTATTTTTCTCCCTCAGTTAAAATAAAAAAGTAATTTAGACAAACCAAGAGTAATACTTTGAGTTGACTTTTTAAATAAAATATTTAAACTTAGTCTAATTGATTAGATATTTTAATTGCTTTAATTTATGACTGTTAAAGATTTTAATATTTAGAATATGCAGTAGTTTAGTCAAAAGGAAAAAGAACTGCCTTATTAAATAGTGCAATATTGGTTTTTACTCAAAAAAGGGCTAACTTTTTGAAATTAAATTTAAGCTACTGTGAAGAATTTAGTGTGTATTAGAAAGTCTACATAGACTTGAACCTTTATGATTTTAAATCAGTGTAATAAGCTTTCCAAAATATAGTCTTTCCTAAAAGATGTGACTAACTTTTGAATATAAATGCAATTTGCAAACCTTTTTTTAAGACAGAGTTTTACTTTCAAATTTTGATTTCCAGCAAATTTTTCTTGCATTTGCATATGACACAAAAGGACATTTGCTAAAAAATCTATTATTGTTAAAATAGCAGATATTCTTATACTATTTGTTAAAAATTGCTTTTGGTCCAATACTGCTGTTTAGGCAATGTGAAATTAGTTTAAACTTTCCTTATTTTTTTTCTAAATGTACATCATAAAATGAATTTTATACCTAGAAAATCATTGTTAGAGTATAATCAGCACTGTGAATTAATCTCGATTTGGGAATTTACTTCTGGATTTTTCTCAATTTTTCTGAAGAAAGAAACAACAAACAGTCTTTGTCTACTAAATGTATAAATTAACTAAAGATTATAGGACTTTTAAGATTTTTTTAAAAAATTAACCGTGGTTATTCTCTGGAAATCAAATACTCTTCATGATGGAGCAACTTCCATATCTCCAAACAGTTTGGTCAACGTTAGTTGCTTGTACCTATGATAGATACTTCTGTAAGTTATCAAATAACAAATTATTTCACTTCAATTTTGGATTCCCACTGTAAGCTATGATTATGCTGCTTCTTTATAGCCCTTAAGCACTTTCAATGTATATATTCATGAACTTTGACTGAGCTGTGAAATTAAAATGTCCTGTGGTGTGATGAAGATGGCAGATCTTTAAGTAGGCTACTAGTTTGGCAGTGATAAAACACAAAAGTTAGTGTTCCTGCAAGAAATTAAAAAATCCTATGAACTAGCAAAGCATAACTGTACACTGCACAGTGTTAATTTGCAGATGATAGTAAAAAGTGGCAAAATAATTCCCTGCCCTCTCTTATGTCTTTTATTAAAAGTATTTATGTTATTTTACGTTATAATTTAGTATATTATTATAATCTAAAATGTATTGAGTCATCACATTTCTTTCTTCTATTCCCCATCCTTTAAACCAAACATTATTCCATGATTTAATAAGATTTGTAGTTTATCTGTATGAGTACAGTAAACTGATGAATAATTGTAATGAAGGACAATATCAAAATGTTATTTCTTGAAATGGTTTCTTTGAGATATTTGTATCAGTTTAGAAGAGATTGTGTCCTCAGATCAAGTTAGTTTCAATATTAGATGAGTCAATCTTGTGGAACTTAGTAGACATAGATGATCATGTTATTAGCAGCTTCCATGGAATTTAGAAAGGGAAGAATGTGTTTTATCCAATCAGCAACATTTTTTACTAAAACCACTACCAATAGGTCATCTTTGTTAATGTTTAATGTGTATCAGTCTGGAACTAGCATTAGCAAGAATTATTATTAGATCTTATTATATACATAAAACAAATCATGATATTTTGCATTAAGTTTCAGTAACGATATGTTTTTTCAGGCCAAAGATCAGTTATTCTAATAAAAGAGATAGGGTCAAAATAAATATGTCAGCAGGTCAAACTAAAAATTAAATTCTCCATGATTTTAATTTATAGTGAAGTTTAGTTTTATTTAATATTGATCAAATGAATAAATTGTTTAAATAAAAACATAATCATATATATTATATATTTAATAATTTTCCCTTCTGTGTAGCGTACTTCTGGAGGACTTCTCTAAGCTACATCCCATTTCATAAATATTTGTTTGTGAAGCCAGGAAGGACTATTGGATCATACTGGCTTCATTTCATTTCATTCTTGACTAGTTAATGGTCCTTATTATATGCAAAATGAGCAACTTTGGGTGGATGGTTGTTATTCTTTGCTAGTGTTAAAACTCATCTCTTGGGGTTATTGCTGTGGGAAAGATAGGAGGAGAAATATTAGGTATATTTGTTGCCTTGAGTTATTTATAAAAATAATTTGCATTCACAACACCTGATCTGAGTTCAGTTGCTTTTTTGCTTTTGAAAGATGTGGCAGATTCATAAACATGGACCAAGGTTGGACCAAGGTTGAACCCAGAGGTATCTGCAAAGTAATCAAAGGATTACAGGTGATGAAAGCTTTATGGCACTGTTGAAATTTAAGCTTGGCTCTTTCTGTACTTACAATTTGACCTTCAATGCACATTTGAAAAAGGCAGGGCTTATGTTGCAAGAGTGCAATGCTGCTTTTGTCCATTAGTTGAAAATTTTGAATTCTGCAAACACATATAGTTGAGAATCTGACAAGATCAATGGACCATACAGATGGTGTTAAGTAGAATAGAAAAAACAATTCTATATATGGAAGACTAATTATATTCATATCTCTTCTTTATATTTCATGCATGGCTTGCTTTACTCGTTTTGCAAAAGTTTTGATAACTTTATGAAATCAGAACCTAATTTTTGACCTACTGTTGAAAAATGTGCATTCTAATATAGAGGAGGTTTTTGTCAAAGTCAGATCTATCGGATATTTGTGATAATTCCTACCGAAACTGCTTTTTTATTTAAAACTGACAGTGTTAATGAATATTACAGAGGAACCTGGAACATGTACAAAGAGGTCAAAAAATGGTGACAAAACACTGCCCCTTTTTCATGGCACACATGTGACACACATGTAAAGGGTGAAGCATCAAAGAGTCATGCCTAAAAGACTCAGCAAAAATCCCACATAAATTGGTTTGAGGATTTTATATTAATTATTACATTCTGAAAACAGAAGCACTTAGGTTATTTCAACATGTTAGACTAAAAGGTTAAGTGTAGTCAATATGATTCAGTTAGTTTCTGCAGATATTTCAAAATGCAGTTCTACAAATACGTATTACATAGTAAGTGTTGGTTTTTGTGAATGAATGTATCTGCAACTGCACATTATATATTTTCATTTTTAACATGCTTGTTTTGCACCAGCTCTGCGTTTGTCTAAAAGTCTATTTAAGAAGATACTTACCCAAAGTTAGCTTCCAAGCAGAAAAGGCCTAGGTGTGGCCTTTTGTTTTAAGATAATATAACTAAGAATAATTAAATACATACCAGTCTAGGTGCGATTTGCTCTAAGTTCCACTGTTTGTGACAGGAAGATAACAAAACTTTTCCACTGCTATTTATCATTGCTGTTTCACCATAGCTAGCATACTAGGCGGTTCTATATTTTATCCGTTCTTCCCACCAACTCTAATAGAATGCATTTAAATTTGGAAATTCCTAGGCAAGTATTGGACTACTTTTTGTGGATGTACTTGAGACTCTGGATGGGGAGATATACAACCATTTGCATTACCCCTGGTGTTCCCTAGACCCCTAGTCAGGAACTGCCAGGAGAAAATCTGAATTGGCAGCCCATTCTAGCCTAGCCTCACAGGACCCCTTAAGAGAGTATCTTGCAGAGATTAAGCGCTCCTTGGGCTGCTTAGCCTGCCTCCCAGGAGGCATGGGTTGGTTTCTTTACATATTTGCTGAAATCAATCCTCTAAAAACCAGGCACTCTATATCTTGGTTGGATTTTATCTAATATTTGTAATGAATTGTCAGCTGCTTAAGTGCATCCAGTTGCAATGGCTGTCAAATTGAAAGTGATTATGAAACTTCAACTCTCTGAGCTACTCCTGAAAATCAAATTAAACTTTTCAAACGCCTCGAGCCAATTGTTTTGCAGTCAATGCCTTGTATCTAGATAAGCATGAGAGTTGAAATGCAATCATTTGAAGAGTGGAGCCTGGAGATAATGATTTTCCTGATGTAATTATTTTTCAATTAAGCAACAATCCTACCATGCTGCTTTATTTTATATACAATTATCTAATATTTTGTTAACCTGATTTTGAGAAATACTTTTTAAGGAACCTAGGAACTGTCCAACACAGGAAGAATCATTTCATTCCACTATGACTCTAATTCCACATCATAATTCATTTGTTTCTGATGGCTGAGAGGAATCTCATTGCACATTTGCTGTTGAAGGGCTGGGTGTTGAGATAGCATACAGACATCACTATCACTATAGGGCTCTTTCATAATATATTTTACCCCTGTGCCAGGGGAATGATTTCTAGGTTGGCCTTGGATTAGATTCAAGCCTACCTTGAAGGAAAGACTGGAAGTGATTAAGTAGTATTAAGTTTTTTAAAAAATCTATCTTGGGATAACAGCAGCCTACCTCCAGTACGACATGAGGACAGATGGCAACTACTCGGTATGAATGCTGCAAACTTGTGGTATGTTTCAAAGCTTGCAAGGCTGTGTCATATCTCTGGGGTTTCCCTTTCATTGGAATCAGAGGAACTCCATCCAAAGAATATAAGGAAAGTGAGTTATCTTTCAGGAGAGTTTCTTATCTGTTTAATATGGAAAAATTCACTTTATAAATATTTGAAAGAGAGCTTCCAACTTTGGCACTAATGGAAATACTGGATACTTTTCATATATATTTAGAAGGTTATTTGAAAAAGAAATGTTCTGTCTTTTTTATATAATTTTTAATCAAATACAGATATTCTGATTACTACGTCTTGGTTTCCTATCAGGCTGTACATGCAAAAATAAAACTAGTTCAGGTCTCAGAATCTTGAGTTAGGGGTGGGGGAACCAACCGTTTGAAGTGCTTTGCCAGCTTTTGGTATATTGTGCATTTTGTGTGTGTATATAATATATGTAAATTATAAATAGATATATAAATAGATTCATATGGTTAAATGTTTAGTGTTTTTTCACTGTTCTCCAAGGAAATAAAGTGTTTTGTATTGCTTTATGAACTGATTTAAATGGCTTTATGGGACGACTAAAATATTTTACAGCTATTTTATCCCAGAAATGGGTAGTTCTGCTCGGATGTAAATCTCACCATTGTTTTTGAAAGCAGAATTTTAGGTTTTAAGCTGACCCTACTGAATAGTACCAGGTAAAAAGCACTTTCTCGTGGCATGTAGTCTATTTTCTCTGAATGAGCTTTCCAAACTAGAGACCACAACACGTTTACATTTGTGTGTGTGTGTGTGTGTCCTGTTTTCTTCCCTGCCTAACAAAGAGTTGCAGAACTTAAAATCTTTAATCTTTTGGGCAAAGAGAGTGGAAAGAAAAATGATATGCTACTGATGTAATAGGACATAAGATCTATCATTAGGAATAGATTAGTCCATCTGTTAAAATCCATTGTAGTGATAGTCTCAGTAAGTGAGCTGTGCTTTGTAATTCTTGGCTGTGACAAATATGCCTTTGCTTTACTTGTCATAAAACTGTTTTACTGTTAATGGCTATTTCTTTGGTTGTATTTGCTTGAACTTAGTTGGAAGACCTTATTCAGACTGTTATGATGTCCATAAATGCAATTTAAATGCACTTAAAATTGATTTGTTACTATGGAGTGTACTGAATTCTTTCATTTAATAAAAGCCTTTGTGTAAGTGTTTTCATGTGTGATTTGTTTCTGTTAGCTTTTGCTCTTATTGTAGTGAAACAAAAGTGTAACAATGTTTTCGGAAGAGAAAATCAGTTACGTCTACTGTGCTGCATTAAGTAATCTAACACTGGAAATAACGAAAATAATTACTTATCAGAGTGTTTAAAATTCCAGCATTTTTTTAGGTAAAATCCTTTCATTATGAGATAGTTTAATATAGACACAAGACAGAGACATGTTTTCTATAGCTAAAGACAAAAACAGGGTGCTACCACTGAAGTCTTTCAACATTACTACCATGTTACCATTCATTTGCATTGTGCCAGGTCTGTAGTTGGAATTGCATTTATGAATAATCCAAATATTTAATGAGAAAGCAAGTTGCATGTGTCAGTGAAGGCACCGTTATTGTTTCAGTCATTTCTAAAAGTCAGTTATTTAAATGTTGGGCAATGATTATAACCGTGTGCCCTCCTATGGCGACAAGTATGGCTACAGTCTTTTAAAAGTCAAACTGCACAGGCTGTTTGGTGGTGGGTGAGTTAGACTCAGATTGTGTTTTCTGACTACAAAAGGTTCACTTGGCTCTTGACAGGTTTGTCAGGAGCTGCTCTCCCCAAAAATGCTACTTAAAAACAGGACAAAAGTGGGATGATTTTATTTTCATCTTTAATCAATATTAAATACAATTAATATGATGATCCACCTATGCTTTTTATTCTCGGAGACTGCCTGGATAAGTCCCTGGATTGGACATGACAGAATGGAAGAAAAAATGTTTATTATTTTTCTCTTCTATAACATTAAATACTACAATTTGCTAACAATTATTGAGAGTCACATGCATGCCTTGAATCTTTGAACAGACACAATATTCACATACACAAGTTCTTTAACCTGGAGTGGGATGATAGCAAATGATGGATAAATTACATGGCATGTTAATCCAGATATGCATAAAAAGAATACTCAACATTACTTTCCAATTCATTTTCCTACAAAAAAGGGAAGGAATTTTTACCAGTTGTTCAAATCAATATGTCTGTATATGTTTTAATCACATTTTAACTACGTTCAATGTATGTATAGGCCATCTAATGCCATCATGACTCTAGGCAGGTATAAGATAATTTAAAACAATGAAGTACAAAACAATACAGAAAACAATTATCCAGTAAAAATAGTACAAGACTACTAAACCCATCTTCTGTAAGAGGTGTACCATTCACTCCACCCAAGGCCTCGGGGAAGAGCTCTCAAAGAGCTCATTTGAATAAACACAGGGTGGAGGATCATATAGATTTCAGGAGAGATATCATATCAAGATACAGGTACTGTAACACATTACTCCTTTTTCATGAGTCACAACAGATGTCACTGTTTAATCAAAGGACCCAGAACATTCCAACTTTGTTGCATCATATGAGATGAGTAGAAACACCATCAAAGGGAGAGTTATAAGGGATAATGAATGAGGCTCTATCACATGAGCAGGTCTGGAATCCACGTTATCAAATCACGGCAATTGTTTAATCAAAATTCAACACCATGATCAGACGGAGCTCTAGTGTATGTGCACTAAAAATTATTTCAGTAACCACTATTTTGTTTACCATGTGTCCCTTCAATACAACCAGTAGAGGGATAAAACATTAAAACAAAGTCAGTGTTCAGTGCTATAGCAGATGCACTATGTACACAATCCCTGGGATTTAGAAATCTGGCTTGAACAGTCCTGTCTGAATCCATGGATAACCATTGCCAATCAAAGTAAATAGGATTAAGCTAACGGAACAAGGAAGCTTTCTAGATGCCAACAAAATCCACCTAAAGCAAAAAATGGCAAACGTGGCTGCCTAGATACTGTTAAACCACAATTGTTGTCATTCCTTATCATTGGCCATAAATTGATGGAAGTTGGACCTCAGCACCATTTGTTCATTTCAAGCTTAATGAAAGCTTGACAAAGTAAGTTTTATTTATTCTTCACTTTTTAATGGGAGGGAAAAGAAAACAGATGTCTGTGTTGCTCTCTTGGTCTTTATGTTATACAGCTATGCTATAAGAATTATATAGCATCCTCAAAAAAAAAAAACCCTCTTGATGTATCCCTTTTGTGGGGTGAGTCAGTTGTGAATCACCATTTTTGCAGATGGAAAATGGAAACAGCAACTCTTGGTTCAGAGTGAAATAAAACAGGATAACATAGCAAGAAGATTCAAAATATAAAATTTAGAACACAGGAAATATCTTGATGGCCCTACATAAAATCACATACAAAGTCTTTGTTGTACATCTTTGCAATTCAAGGTCCATAATTTGGGATGCATTGCATATTTGGGTTGCAAAGCTCCAGACAATTACTAGAAGGCAGTCTAGAGACCAAAAGTTAAGTCCTGCCATCTGTGGTCATCTAACATTTTTGAATTCTTACTCTGTCAGCCTGATTGAGCAGCTTCTTATGTGGTAATTTTGGAGATTTTTGTCTTGCCATTCTTTCCAGTATTATACTATTGTAGTGTATTCATATTAAGCACAAATAGTTGCTGGTTATTGGTTACCAGCCTGAGATATACACACATACAAAAAATAATTAAATGTACACTTTGGAAACAAGAGCACGGATACATTTCATTTATCAGAAACATTGACTTGCAAGAAGGCAAAGTCAAACACTTTGGAGAGAAAGGATTGATTGCAAACATAGGTATTCTACATTTTAAAAAAATCTATTGAAAATTCTTTTTGAAGCTAAACCTGCATCTATATATTTCAGACTACCTAACCATATTTTATGAACCCAATTCATGTGGTCAATTTATGGCTCATGACAAGATTGGATTAATTTAAGAAAGCAAAACCTCATACAATGGCATATAGCTGGCTTTGCTAAGCAGACGTCAGACCTCATTAATATTTGTGTAGGAGTCTACCAGAAAAATTTCAGGACTGTGGGCTGAACTAAGGCTTCCCCCATTAATAAAAAATATTGTGGAAAAACAGAATGGCGAACCTCTTCTGTATCATTGCCAAAGAACCCAACACAGACATGTAGGCATCTGAAATAAAGCATGTATTTGTATTTTGCACTTTGTAAACTAATGAAAAACTATTTTGCATGAACACAGGCATATTCTCATTGTGGCTCAAATTTTTACAAGGGTGGCAGATAGAAAGCTAAAGCTAACCCTGAACATGTGTTTCTCCAAACTTATGACACTTTCTGTCTGTTGACATTACAATTCTCAGAATTCCAAACACAATCAAAGAATTCTGGTAACTGAAGCCTTTTCAGACCTGGAAGGATTGATGGGTTAGGGAGGGGATTCCAAAATATTTTCAAAATAAGAAATGAGGACATGTAATATCAATGCTATTATGCTGTCTTTAGAAATATTCAGCCTCCAAATTTGTTGGACTTTCAGATCATTTTTGCATAAGAGTGGTCGTTCACATGTTCTGTTGTTCGTGTTGGAGCACCGGCAGCATGATGTGGAATTGGGGAAGTCTTCTGTTTCACCATCATAGTTGGATCATTTTCTAAAGCCTCTGCAGTTCTCTGGCACTGCTCCACTGCCCTCCATTACAGGGAAGCATGTCCTATTACATTGGTCAACTTCAGGCAACGGATGGACATGGTTTGGTTCCAATGGAGCTTAGGGTTGTTCCTGAGAGTCTGCTACACAGTCTGATCAAGACTGTTGTGGCTACCTGGAATGAAAGGGTGGTGAAACTTCTTGATCAAATTGTGCACAAGAAGCCTTTCCCCACCCCAAGATCTAGAACCCTCTTTGGTTTCCAAAATAGTTGGAAAGAAATAAAGCAGGTGGAGAAAGGCTTGGATTGCCACAAGTAGACAATGTGATGCAAATCTAACCAAACACAAGCAAGACCTGCTATTAGAGCCTCCCTTGTGTGGGGAAGGGCAGCCATTTTCCCCTGCCTTTATTGCATCCATGGATGCCTTCTTCGTGAGGTCCTGAATCCTGGACAGGATGGCTTGAGGTTCACCTATAAGTTACACTGAAGAATTCCCAAGGCATCTGATAGATAAATTTGATCTAAACTGAATTTTGTCTGTAGCAGGTCTTGCAGATGTGACTGAGGTGAGGCCCTGAGGTGAGTTCAATTATCTGGAAAGAAATTGATCCTGTTGGACCTGATGAAATGGACAGGGCTCTGAAGGCTGTTCACTCAGCCACCTCTGTGTTACATCTGTGCCTCTCCTGATTGGCTAAGGCCTCCTGAGAGGTGACTTATGGTTGTGGCTTGATGGAAGTTAATTACTTTTTAAGACCAGAGTTGGTGCCACCATCTCTTAAGGCAGTGATGGTCCATCCTTCTTCAAGATACCATTACTTTGTCCAGTATTCAATCTTTTCTTTTTGGGGAAGGCTGTGGAGAATGTGGCTGTGCAGCAGCTTTGAACAATTCTGAAAGAAGTGGATTGTTTGGACACCTTTCCGTCAGGATTCTGGCCCTCCTGGGATGGGATTGAGATGGCATTGGCTATACTCTTGGATTATCTCTAGTAAGGGCAACATGGGGACAGTATATCTGTCATTTCTTTTCTTGACTCCTCAATGGCTTTCAATGTCATAGAACGTGGTATCCTTCTGGACTATCTGTCCATCATGGGTTTCTGATGTCTTCAATATTGCTTCTTGATGGAGTGGCACTACCACTCAAAGAGGTTTATGACCCTTGGTTATGGCTCCTGCTAAATGGCAGGTGGAGCCTTTAGCTGGGTGGTGGGGGTATGCCCTGCTTCAGCTGGTGTGCCTGTTGCAACTTTACTAGAATGTCACAACCTTACAACAGTGCCTCGTGCCCTCACTATAGTTTGTCCCATCCTGCAGGGCAGCTATGCAACAGGACTCAGTAAAGGGATACAATATAATTGTATTAGAAAATACAGTACTAGCACTTAGTTTTATATATTGCTTCATATGCTTTACAACACTCTTTGAGCTGTTTACAAATATCAGCATATTACCCCCAACAATCTGGCTCCTCATTTTACCAACCTTGGAAAGATGGAAGGTTGAATCAATCTTGAGCCGGTCAGGATCGAATTCCTACTGTGGGGCAGAGTTAGCCTGCAATACTGTAATCTCACCACTATACCACCAGGGCTCCTTGTATCAGAAAATATGTCCCAAAGATGCTTTTTCTTATGAGAAGTGAAATGTCTTCAAAGAAAAATCAGAAAGTCCAGTTGCTCCTTCAAAAAACACCTTTGGGACAACCATGACCTTGATGATTGAGAATCTCCATAGACAATCAAAAGATATGCCACCAAAGTGGGCAAAGTAAATACTTACAATTTGTTCCCCACTGGTATATAGGAAAGAATGTATTTTTATGGTGGATGGGAAGACTTTTTTCATGTAAATATGCACCCAGTTATGGACCAACCACAGAGTACTATTTAGCTGAGGCGCTGGGACTGTCTGTGTGTAGAGTTATGATTGTCATTCTCTGTCAGTATTGCAACTCACTACAGGCTAAAGATATCCCTTCTGTAGAATTCTGGTACCTTAAATAATTAGCATTACCTGCTTACGCCCAATTTCATTTCAATTCTGAGATCACATTCTATTGTGAAGAGGGAATTTCAGTGGTTGCAACTTCTTAGACAAATTCCTACATCAGCACAACTATTAAAAGTGTAACTGCACTTTTTTTTTTCATCTAGCTTCTTGAACCAGATGATATGCAGACAGAATCAGTCATGAAAATAAAACTCCCACTTGTTCAGTCAAAAACAGCACATACTATATACTCAAGTGATGCGTTCTTTCTACTGAAAATTTAGCCTGTAAGAAAAATCTTATACGCACACATGCACACTGCTCAGGCTCTTCAATGATGACCCGTTGTTTTTTCTTTTGTTTTTTTAAACCCAGAGTTTCTTAATCCTCTTACTTGATTTGAACCATGAACTAATATGACTGGTTCACAAACCTGCAGCACAACTAATCAGTCACATTTTAATCTCCCAGCTAATCTCGGCCTTTCACTCTCTCTGTCTTTCACACACACACAAACACACGGAAGCAAGCCCCATTATAAACTATAAGGCTTGTTTCCACATTCCACGCGGATGTTACTAGCAGTTGAGTTAGGTCAGCAGGCTCCAAGGACTGCAAATCCAAGGACTGCAAATATCTTGGAAATATACAGAAATGTCTTAAGTATGCTTTCTGTTTTTATTAGCCAGCAAGTGCTTGACAGAGAAAAAATAATGTGGCAGAATTGTCATCACCATTAAATACATTCATACATTAAATCGCTGTTTTCAGTTAGCTTTAAGACAAACACATTCTGTGTGGGGTATTTTTTTTTTTTTTTACAAACACATTCTGCATGGGGTATTTTTTGGAGTTTTGTTTATTTAAATAGATCAGGCACAAAACCAAGGAGAAATTCCCGAGGGAGCATCTGTTGTTGTTTGGATTAGTGTGAAACACGATTTGACAACAACATCTTCACATTAAAGCTTGGGTTGCAAAACAACATTAAAGGCACTACCATTCATCCCACTAGCTAATCATCTGGAAACGTTACTATTCCCCACAGGCAAGAAGATCTTTTCACAGAACCTCGGACATTTTCGATCGCCAGACATCTCTTTAGTCTGGGGGAAGCGAAAGCTTGGCTACCTATAACCCAGCCTCACAAGGCGTCTCTTGCTTAAAGTTTAACCCCACCAGCTTGCTGGCCAACACTCCCAGGATTCCCAGCCCAGGGGGGCTGTCCGGCGAGCCTCCAGCAGAGGAAAAGTGTACTAACAACAGCAGGAGCGCCGCGAACGTCGGGATCTCCCGGGACCCACATATGCTAAAAAACGGAGTAAACGCCCGCCCGCCTGACTCCGCGAACTCTTTTAACATCCTTCCGGCATGCTCCTAGGAGTCTGCGCATGACGAGGGGCGGGAGGGAAGGACAAGGTTTCTATGGCACCAGCCGACAAACAGGAGTCGCTCCAGCCAGCGCGGGAGGGCTTTTTTCCCACCGAGCCGCAGCTGCAGGTTCCCCTTTCGAGAAAGAGGTGAGGTAGGTGGGGGACTTTGTGGCTGCTGGGCGTTTTCCAAGGAGGCAGAGTGAAAAGCCGAACCTCCCAAATCTGCTCAGGTTTCCTTGAGCATCGTTTTTGTCCTATATGGTTTAGGACAGGGGTCTCCAACCTTAGTGACTTTAAGCCTGGTGGACTTCAACTCCCAGAATTCCCCAGCCAGCAAAGCTGGGGAATTCTGGGAGTTGAAGTCCACCAGGCTTAAAG